GTAACTCGGCACTTTCTATTTGTATCTAACTTTTCATGTAATTTGAATATGTATTGTAAATAGTCCAAACGAAAATGAATTACTTAGAGCTTTTCCTTGTGTTAAACATCCTAAGTTTTTTCGTTTGCAGAAATGACTTATATCCTGCAATACCATTCAAGGTAGTTAAAGCCATTTTCTACGGAAACGTACTACGTCGTCTTTTACCGCTTTTATTTGTGACATCTTGTGAGCTAATCTTAGCTCATTAGAAGTTTTCTTTCCACAGTTATGCGATGTCATTGTAAGAAACTCTTTATTGTCGTTTAGGTTTCGCAACCATCGCGGCGATTCCTATCAACTGACTGAAGTAGCTTCTTCTTTCTATGTGAGTTTACGTACTCGCATTGAGTTGAATCTTTTGGAGTTAAGCACGCCACGTGCGGACTTTAATAAGCCTCTCATAATGTCAGCGGCAATAAATTTGGCTTGAAGAACTCATTTCGGTCGGGGTGAAATTACTTAATTCGTGCACTGCTCCACTCCACTCATTTTGAATCATCACGGCTTTGAGGACGGCGCCGTCGCCGTAACGACGGTTCAACGAATACTTATAACTAGCTTATGTAAGCTTTTTAGTGAGCCAAACATTAGCTGATGATGTAGAAATGAAGTGGGACCAATTTACAGAAATGTAATTTTCAAATATTTCTTCGTAGAAAAAACCAACTCTCATAATGGATTGATTGCCGAAGTGAAAAATATTTGATTTAATTCAAGTAACATTGTGCCATTCTAAAATGTGATATAGTAACCCTGGGTTCAATGATTATGTCTCAACTATTAAAGTACTGATTAAAAGAAGATCGATTCTAAAATGTTATGAATTTTTTCAAAATCATTAATCCTATTCTATTACACCATGAAACTATAACTGTTGCAAGAGTCATGCGCATAAATACTTTTCGCTTCAAGAAGAGGTCAATAGACCATTAAGTAATTCTCAGCGATCGTAAACTGTTTTCTCGTTATAAAATAAACCCAACTGGAATTTTTCCACTTCTGTAATGAAGAAATATAATATTTATCTATTTCTGTAGATTGGAATTATGTTTTGAGCTGTAGAAACAGTGAGAATGTATTACACTTTTATTTCGAGTATTTTATTGAGACCACGCTCAAATTTCGATGCATCTCATAATTATTAATTTAACCAACATATAATATGATCTGGTATTAGGCTCTTGTACAGCCCGGTAAACGTGTTTCGACGTTTCAGTCTCGTCAGTCGGACAGAACCCGTCATTTTAGTTGTCTTTTTAGCCAGTTCTCTCGGGAGCCCTCAATCGAGTGTACAACACTGTATGTATGGTGATAATTTCACTTGACTCACAGTGTAAATCGTTCGTCTTCGCTATCTCTTTATAGGGAGAGTAGAGCTCCCGAGAGCATTGGCTAAAAAGACTAAAAGACGAAGGGTTCTGCCCGACTGACGAGTTCGTAAGGACGAAACACGTGTATCGGGCTGTACAAGAGCCCGTTACAGGACCACATGACATATTGGCTCAAATAATTATCATGAGATGAATCCTTTCATTATTATTTGAGCCACATGTCATGTGGTGTGGTAAGGGCTCTTGTACAGCCCGATACACGTGTTTCGTCCTTACGAACTCGTCAGTCGGGCAGAACCCGTCGTCTTTCGAAATTTTTATAGTCAATTCTCTCGGGAGCTCTGCTCCCTTACAGAGAGTTATCAAAGACAAACGTTTTACACTCTATGTCAAGCTAAATTTTCACCTAACACAGAGTGATTGTAGTAAATTGACATGCAATGAAGCACTCGAAATAAAGGTATCACCTGTATCACCTGTCTTCCCGTTGATCGTCGAGTGACTCGAGCGGGTACCAGCAACTCTTCCATTTTTCCCTATCGCGTGCAAGAGTAGCCCAGTGGGTCCTCTTTGCTCTAGGAATTTGCTGAGCATCATATTTTTCTTCTATCGCTTTCGTGAAGAAATCGCACCAACGGGTCAGTGGTTTTCCTTTAGAGCGCTTGACGTACCGAGGATTCCAGTCGGTAACGGCTCTCGTCCAGCGGTTGTCGTTGAAGCGCATCACGTGTCCGGCACACCTTATTTTCGATATCCTGGCGTGTAGAACGGCGTCTCTGATTTTCGATCGTTGACGTAGGTCGGAACTTCAGATCCTTTGTCTCACTTGCGAAATACGGGATACTCCTAGCATCGACCTTTCGACTGCGCGTTCGATAACGCCAAGTGATCTTTCATGCTGCTTACTTAGCGACCAGGTTTCTGCTGCATACGTTAGGGCAGGGATAGTTGCCGAGTCGAAAAGGTGGGCACGGAGTCGAATGTTCTTTGCCCTCTTCACTACATCTTCGATGCTCTTAAACGTTCCCCAAGCCGCTCGTTTACTCCTGCTCAACTCTGAAACTAGGTCGTTTATCATTTTGCACTCACGACTTAGAAAGACGTAACTGGAGCATTCGGAGATTGTCGTTACGCGTTGAGCGTGAATGGTGCATTCGAAACCCATCCGTTCTTCATGAACATTGTTTTCGTTAGATTTAGTTGAAGACCAATCTTTCCAGAGGCGTTATCGAAATCGGTCAACATTCGTTCCGCTTGACTGATGTTTGGTGTTATGAGAAAGATCTCGTCAGCAAAGCAAAGATGGTTAAATTGTCGACCGTCAATTTTCACTCCCATATCGTCCCATTCTAATTTTCGCCTGACGTTTTGCAGGGTGGCAGTGACTAGTTTTGGCGGAATTGTATCGCTTTGTCGAACCCCTCTTTTCATGTCAATGGTGATATTGTTGTAGAATGGAGATATTCTGGTCGTGAAATCTTTGTGAAGCTCGCGAAGAATTATTATGTACCGACTAGGGACGCCTTGGTTATCCAGAGCCTCTATAACCGCTTCTGCTTCCACCGAATCAAAGGTTTTCTTCAGATCGGTGAAAAATGAGACAGAGTGGTTGCTTGAACTCTCGCAAAGGTAAATTGTAAAGGCACAATATGATAAAAATACCAGCCAACGAGCAATTGAGTACAAAACACTTTGTGTTAGGTGAAAACTTCGCTTGACATAGAGTGTAAAGTTTGTTTTCGACAACTCTCTGTAAGGGAGCAGAGCCCTCGAGAGAACTGACTATAAAAATATCGAAAGACGAGGGGTTCTGCCCGACTGACAAGTCTGTAAGGACGAAACACGTGTATCGGGCTGTACAAGAGCCCTTACCAGACCACATGACAAGTTGGCCCAAATAATAATGAAAGGATTTATTAAAATTTGAGCGTAGTCTTAATGAAGCACTTGAGATAAAGGTAGAATCATGAGATATACTGACAAGATAAGTAACAATTGCGTTGGGATGGGGATTTCGTATTTGCCCTTTTGGACACAGACGGCCATCGCCTCTGCGTGTCTCTTTGTTGACCTAGAAAAAAGTCACTTCTTTGTTGTTTAAAATTACGATTGAGTCTTCGATTAAATAGGAGCACCAACATCAATGCTCTCGAGTCGGTTGTTCGTATATGATTGCATGTCTCCTCCTTTCCTCTCTTCTGGATATAAGGCGTTTTTTCACTTATTAATACATCAACACGAGAAGCATATAGTTGACGTCCAGAACGACTTCCTATTATTATACGATAATTTACGGTGCAGAGGTTATTTTATTACCTCAAGTTGTTACCTAATCTGACAAATGTCTGGGCGATAGTTGCTGATTACTGTACTATGCTCGCGCCAACAGTGAAGAAATTGTAACTTATGATCATTTGGACGACTTTTTAGCAGAATTCTCTATCGTGGTTATTTATCTGGATGGCATATGGTTAGAATTATGTAACATATATTATTAACGAGAAAAAGAGGTATGAATTGTAATAAATATCACTCAACACTTATAAATATCTAGCTATAACATCTGCAGGATCATTTCCATAATCGCTCAGGGACTTTTGAAAAAGAGTAATTTATCGGACTAAAAGTTTTCATAGTTAGTTTCAGAAATATCTCCTTATATGCCCAAGAATCATTTTTGAGCCACACTTGTCATGTGGATTGTTAAAATGGGCTTACTTATAGAGCCCGATACACGTGTTTCAACCTTGCGGTCTCGTCAGACGGGCAGTCGCCCTTTCTCGTCTGCTAGTCTCTGCAGGTGCTCCAGTCCCCACACTGAAAGCTAGCGACGACGAACGCTCTACACTCTTTGTCCAGTGAAATCATCACCGAACACAGAGTACTGTACACTCGATTGCTCTTGGCTGATATATTTAATATATCATATCAGCCGTTTCGAGTGTTTTCTTAAAACCACAGCTCAAATTTCAACATGCCCAAGAATCGTTTTTGAGCCACGCATATCATGTGGTTTGTTAAAAATTTCACTTCGGTTCGGTGATAATTTCACTGGACATAGAGTGTAAAACATTTGTCGTCGCTAACTCTTAGTGCGGGGACTGGAGCACCCACAGAGATTAGCAAAAGACGAGAAAGGGTAAGTACCCGACTGGCGAGACCGCAAACAACAAGGCAAGGTTGAAACACGTGTATCGGGCTCCATAAGTCAGCCCTTTTTCAACAAACCACATGACATGTGTGGCTTAAAAATGATTCTTGGGTATAGTGAAATCTGAGCTGTGGTCGCGTTCAAAATAAAATTAAGCTCTTTCTTTAAACTGTAGTAACCATTCGACTATATAATCAACGAAATTTTCAAAAATGCGCTTGGTTTTTATGAAGGCCTCTGTTCAGCGGTTTAGTAAGAAAAGCAAGGTTGAATTTTACATGGGCCGTTTAGATCGACTGTATCGATTGATTGATCACGCAGGTGCGAGTCACATGTGAAGTGAGATCCTTGTTGTTAGATTTAGGATTCGATCGAATGATTACTATGATCAATCTTAATTTTTTTTATTTTGACTACCACTTGCAGTGGTATGATGTTATAGTATACCCAATATGTGGAGTGCTGTGCAAAACGCTTGCGTCAGCCGGGGTTCGAACCCAGATCTATCTCACTCTTTCCGGGAGCGTATGCTAACCATTGCACTACCCTAGTCGGTAGTGCAATGGTTAGCATACGCTCCCGGAAAGAGTGAGATCTGGGTTTGAATCCCGGCTGACGCAAACGTTTTTGCACAGATTCCACATATTGATCACTATAAGTTTAACGGAAGGTCTCTGCCAGTAAAAGGAGTTCTTTCACAAAATCTCTGCCAGATAACGGAAATGATATCTATATCAGTGCTAAGAGTGCTCCAAAACAAAGAATTCCTGCACGTCCGGATTCATGTTTTTGATCCACCAATGTCATAAAGTGATCACAGTGTTTCACCTGAATACGATACAAAATCAATCGTTTTGGTGGTCTATTGCAATCGGATTGTGCTCGGTGACAATAAGGGGGCTGCTCTATCTTACTCATCTTTAAAGCTCACGCTATCACATATCTTCTGAATCGGTCTTGTATCTTTTAGTCAATACCATTCCAGCATCAAAGCATAACAGTGGCGTCACCAAGTGTTCTGATTTTTTTGAAATCACGAATTCGGATTTGTGTAGAAACATGTTCTGTTTAACTTTTCAGTTTTTCCAAGATATTTCGAAATTCACGCAAATGAATAAAAAAAGTAGTACGCAGATTCTGAGGGAGCCGTGACCGAGTGGTTGTAGAGCTCGTTGCTACCCCAATACTGGCAATCAACGACGAACGCTCTATGGAACGCCACAGCCAGGTTAAGCTCGAGATTGGAAAAAGATGCGCTCAACCAATATTCTACGACTTTCAAGAAGAAGAAAAACCGATTGAATGCTAAAAGTACTGTGTTCCTCACAGTATGGAAAACACTGTGGAGACAAATAATGAAATTTCTGAAATATTGAAGTATATTGCACCTGCACAAAATTTTTAGTAACGTGTTGAGCGCTATTAAGTGAAGAAGACACCGTGATCGTTTAGAAAATACCTCTTTCTTTATAATTCAAAAACTTTGCAAAGATATCCGAAGTGAATAAATTCAAAACAAAATCGAGAACCAAGTCTCTTAGCTGAAAACTTGCAAAAGAGCAGCTTTCTGCCAATCCTGTGAGAAATTCTTCATTACCTAAGAAAAACTAAGCGTTTATTGACTTATTAGTGTCAAAGCCTATTTTTGGACGTACCAGGCTTCTGCGCTAGGTGATAGTTCTCCTATTGAGCTTAGAGGACTTAAATGTTGTGAACATGATACAATCATAGAAGAGGCTCTATCGCTTTATGAGTAAAGGTTGTGCACCACCACTGACTGTATTTTACAGGGATCCAACATATCAACACAATGTGTCAGCAATTGGAGATATTTCATAATTATTATTTGAACCAACATGTCATGTGGTCTGTTGATGGGCTCTTGTACAGCCCAATACACGTGTTTCGCCCTTACAGTTTAGTCAGTCTGGCAGAACCCGTCGTCTTTCAGTCTTTTTAGCCGATCCTCTCGAAAGCTCTACTCTCTCTGTAAAGAGTTAACTACGGCGAACGATTCACGCTTAAGTCAAGTGAGACTATTACCGAATATACACTGATGTACACTTGAATGCTCTTTGGCTGGTATTTGTCTAATATTAGACCTTTATTTCAAGTATTTCATTAAGACCACGCTCAAATTTCATTATGTCTCATAATTATTGTCTGCGATATCTTGGAGATTTTCTAAACCATGTTGGCTTTAGTTCTAATTCCCTATTCAGCCCCACTCCATAACATAACCATGATCTATCATAGCAAGTGGAAATAAAACAAGAGTCACTTGCGGTTGAATTACGTATCGGTGAACTCACTCGATATAAATTTCTTGAATATTTTCACGTGCAGAGTAGAGTTGTTCTTCCTGACCGTTACAACATGTATATTCAGTGAGCTACCGATTGACTGCACAGGGCTCATTAAAAATCATCTGTTGACGGAGATAACGATTGAAATCACTATCATATATGGTTCACATTGTCCTGTTCGACTGGTAACGCATGAGTCACATATGACTCGCTGGGTCATTAATGTGTTGAAGAGTGAAGCAACCTCCATTCATTTTTGACGTTCATATGACAGGTGTGGAAGTCTCATGCGTATCTCATGTAAATAGCATATAATGTATTATTTAATATATTCCACATATACTACATTTCATTTGAACGCTAAGGATGATCCCAGAAATCACTCGGCTGGTGTATCGACGTTTTTTCCCTTTTTCATAGCCACTTTGATTCGAGTCGGTGCTCCACTGACGTTCGCAGTTGAATTGTGAGATTTCGCAGTCACATCGAATCGAGTTTCTAGAGTGGCCCCTTTCGGCGATGCTTGATAAAAACAGCTTCTAATTGAGCATTTTTTTGCTTTTACTATATCTTCAAAATGTTATGATGTTCTAGATGAGCACCTAAGACATAGAGCTTAGTTGATCTCCGTGATGTAGTGATAGCACCTGCGTCAGTATAGGTGGATTGCAGGTTCAACCCCTGTCCGAGATCAGTTTTGGCTTACCACTCACCTATCTTAGCAAGCTGCTGATAATTTGTTGAAGAAGATCTGCATTTTTTGGACAATCCATTTGCAACAATCGATGTTAGTTAGCTGACACATAACAAAGCTAAAATTATTACAAAAGGGCTTTCATTCGACCTCTCTATGATTTGAAAATGATAATTTCTGTTTTTCAAATTTAGTAGTGAGTATTTTGCGCGGTTAAATTGTCCTCAAAACAATTTTGCGCAATATTCTACCGGGTTTGAGTTGTTTGAAATGATTGATTACTCTCAGTGAAGTAGACATTTTTGATAAGTGATCTAAATTTATTCGCATCAATCATCCTTTTTCTCGAATATCAATTTGCCTCAAATTTACGGTGGTCTATCCAATGCATTACAGGTGTCGATGATCCGCTTCTTCACTTCCGCAATTTCGTCCTGTGTCAGACGGTCGGAGACAATGTCAAAGTCACCATCATCCACGTAGCTAGAAGAGTTGCTCTTCGTCTAAATCATTGTAATCCTCATCAAATTTAATATAAGCACTTTTACTCTTTTTCAACTTCAAAAAATTTAGTATCTGTAGGTGAAATGTGTTACTTGTCTGCTTGTATCATACTCTCAAAATGTGCGTCAGGAATTTTGAGATCTGTGCTTCGAATGAAGTAGAATAAAGGAAAAATTTACTTGTCTCCTTTCATGGTCTTTGTATTCCATAATCAGTGTGATACTGGTTATAAGTGAGAGAAATGCCGATATATATATATATATATATATATATATATATATATATATATGCTAGGCCTTGCGTCTACTCTTTGTCTAGTGAATTAATCCTCTCAAATCTTTGAATTCGGAGGTATCTACTCTGAGAAGTGCTTCTCGTATTCACCCAAGCTGAAGAGTATATGTGGTGAAGACCAGGGCCATCTCAGCACAGCAATTTTGGGATTTTAGAAAAAAGTGGCTAACTCAAAATCGCTATTCATAAGCAGAACCAAGCAAACCACAAGCAAAAAAGCCGCATCGCTGCACAAACTTGAAGATTTTTGTGGGTAATGGATGAGAGAATTTGAGTAGAATACAAGAAGTGCTGAAATCCTCATAATATTTGATCGTGCGTCCTGGAAAAAAGATTTGAGAAATTCCGTCTAGAAGCTCAGCTAAGAATAAGCCAATGTAAGGAGCAAATATCGTTCTGTTGGAAAATTGGCCGCAAGTTTGGGCAGGTATCTGTTGGTGAGGTTGAGCGGTGAGACAACCGTTATACCATATCCGTGGTCACATGAAACGAAATGGAAATTATATCAGAAAACTATGACACTAATCGGCAGTTTAGAATGTGTCATATTCTCGTATTGAAATGAGAGAACGATTTCATTGATGTCAATCTTTATGCTACTTTAGAGGGTGCAGCTCGTTATAAGATAAACCCAACATAAGCTGTGAGGCATCGTTCCACAAAAGTGAAGAATTTAGAATTCGGAAAAAAAGCAAATTGCAAAGCAGAATCCTTAATGTGGCAGGAAATTCAATTCAATACTCTATCACCTCGTATGAACATAGTCTTCATTTTGTGCATTCACAGTTTTGATTGGGAATGTAGCTTGTATTGAAAAGTGTTTCTAACAAAATCCTTTCTATCTAATCACTTTTAGCGCAATATGTCTAATGATGTAGAGTGATGTGCACAACTTTTGCGTCAGGCGGGACTCAAATCAGGATTTTACACTATCCGGAGGCGCGTTCTCTAACCCCGTTGCACTACCGACGCATAATTTTCCCACCACTCTTTCTAAGCTAGAAAGAAGGTTTCTGTGAGACTGCTATCAGAAAGCTCAGCACGGTATAGGAAACTATAAGAAAGAGACCACAAGACGCAAACTGTTAGGAACAAGAGTATGATATCGGAGTTCAAATACATTTTCTGAATTAATATTCACAGAGTGAGATTTGGTTGAAATGCAAGTAAAAAGGACTCGTGCTATGAATGGGCCTACCGTGAAAAAATTGAAGTTCGATCCCGCTGTGAGATAACTAATACGACTGGGAATCTGTTAGCGGCTTGAACGCACAATTTTGGAGCGACTTCATTTTCTCGCGAGGAGTTGACATCACCTCACTCATATCGACCATTATCCACACAGCACTTGAGCAATAAAGTAAAAAGCTCTCGGCATTGATTAATCCCTAAGGGATATGCCATACATTCGTCTTCAATTTTTAACTTCGTCTGAGGTGATTGAATACATATTTGGCCTTTACAATGACTCGCGGTGGCTTCCCGCTGTAGCGCGTCAGTATTGCTTATCCTCCACTTAGTGAGTCACAAGCGCGAGCTCGAACCGTGGACCTCGTGAGCGACGCAGGGCATCTCTAGCCACTGCGCCTCATGTGCGCCCATATGGGCAATGCCTGCCAAAATAAAACAAAGGTATGTGACACCAAGCCGGATTGTGTCATTAACCTTCGTGAAACTTTTCATGAGTGTGAAAGGATTAAACAGCGATGACAAAACATTGATGTCCGATTCCGTGAAGAAAAGTTTCCAC